TGCATATTTATGAAATAAACAATGATTAGAACATTTTTAAATCTTAGATTTGAATATTTGTAGAGGTAGTGCTTAAAATAGCCACTGTGCTTCAATTTTTTTTTATTATTGTTGGAATCTTGTTCAAAAACAAAGCAGCAATAGGACTAGCATTCAGCACAGTATATAAGAATTGTAAACCACTAACTGAATGGTAAAATGGAAATCAAGACATTTTGGTCAGTTAAATGGATGTTTTAGATATTTGGGTGGCTCATTACAACCACCAAAGGACTGCAAATACTTACTCACATTTGATTATTGCAAGCTGCCAGCAGAGTTTCCAAAGTTCATAGGATGAAGATACTTACAGTGTGCTTAGTTATCAACTATAGTGTTTTTGCAGTTGCTGCTGTGATTATGAGTAAATGTAGTAAATGCACAAACTTGGAACCATATGAAGTGGAATGGGACTCCTCAAGGAGTTAGTTCTTTCCATTTCATCTTGAAGTTATATTAATACTTCCAATTTAAACTGAAGCAACTTCACACTGAGCTAAGTTTGTTCAATGATTACGTACTAAAGTAAAATCTTGTGAATGAGCTTTTAGGATTAAATATGACCGCTTAAAGATTTTTCTGAAAGCATTAAAATGTTCTGTGCTATTTACTATTTATTGTTCAGTGGAGCCATGCTAAAATAAATTATTTCATGCTAGAGAAGTACGTTTTAAGTGAGGTTTACTCCTCGCTCGAAAGGTGAAAATCACTGTGCAAATAGTTGTTTCATACTGCAGCATGTACCTCAAGCCTAATTATCATGTCAAACCACTGACACAGGCACAGTTTTTGATGGTATCAATTTCTGTAATTCACACATATGTGATTGGAAGGTTTCTATCTGCGTTAGCAGAAATCTCAATACATCTGCAAACATTTTTCTTGAAAAGAAAACAATTGCAGAAGCAAGGTTTCCCACGAATGACATTGCAACAGATCTCTTGACTGACATGTTGCTTTACAGCTTAATCAGAACTACTCGTCGCTTGTTGGAAGAAACCTCACTATCATGTCAGATTCATGGTAGGACCTCTGAAGGCAAACTTTGACCTTCCTTTTTTTTTAAATACCCAACTGTGTCAAATGATTCTAGTCAATTTTCTATTGTGACTGGCTATTAATGGTCACATTGACCTTGATTAACCTAAAAGGCAATGGCCTTGAGGTGTTATCGCTGAACTGTTAATCCAGAGACCCAGATAATATCCTGGAGACCCGGGATCCAATCCCGCCATGGCAGATAGTGGAATTTGAATTCAATAAAAAAAAGTCTGGAATTAAGGATCTAATGATGACCATGAATCAATTGTCGATTGTCAGGAAAAAACCTATCTGGTTCACTAATGTCCTTTGGGGAAGGAAACTGCCATCCTTACCTGGTCTGGCCTACACGTGACTCCAGACCCACAGCAATGTGGTTGACTCTGAACTGCCCTCTGGGCAATTAGGGATGGGGAATGAATGCTGCCTAGCCAGCGATGCCCTCACCTGATGAATGAATAAATAAAGTAATTGGTAGGAGTTTGATTTTGAGGTGAATTTAATTTGTGTCAATAGTTTTGAGATAACAAGACTTCATTCTGTAGCACCTAATGTGCAGCAATTTTAGCTCAAATATTATCCCAAGACATACTAGATCTCTTTTCCTTTCCTTGCCAGTCTGTGAATTGAATTAAATTTTTAGGGTTTGAGAGGCAGCATTATTTATGTTAAATGTTATTTTCCTGTTTTCTCCGAGATATTCCCTCTTTGCCAGCTACCACCCGCAGCTAAAAGTAAAGATTATGTCATTATATATCACAGAAGGAAGCCATTCATTCCATTGTGCTTGTGCTGGCTTTTTGAAAGAGCTATACCAGTCTCGCAACCCTGCAAAAGTGAGTGTTCTCCTTTGGACGTCCAGCAAAGCTGCTCTAATATCCCTAATGTCCCATCACTCTGTCCCTAAGTTCAGGTACAAGGTGGCATTAGGAGATCATTTTAAGTTGTTTTAGTACTTGGCAGTACCAAACTGCCTCTGTACTCTGCTTCAGTTTACTTTTTTGATGATAGAAAGGCTGAACAAGCTCAGGGCTATTTTCTCCAGAAAAAAGTGAAGCCATCTTTAAAATCATGCAGGCATTTGCCAGGCTAAAATGTGGGGAAAATGTTTCTGAGTCAAGATTATAAATCTCACAGACAGTATAAGAGAAAATGTTTTAAGAAGAGAGTTGTGAGGATGTGGAGTTTGTGGAGTGATCTACATTCAATAACAGATAAATTTAAGTGAAAGGTGGATATACAAAGGAGGAACGAAGAGGTTGGTCAATCTTCCAGAGGTGAGATGAACCAGTATGGCAGGAGGGTTGTGTGGAACATAAACACTGCCATAGACCAACTGGGACCAATGGCCTAATCTAGGCTGTCATATCTTATGTAATTCAATTTAATAAAAACACCTTTGTATACAAACATCAAATGTTTGGAAATAATGCAGAAGTCACTTAAGCTGGACTTAATATTTCACAAGCTTGCAAAAGCTGGTTAGTTTTGCTTAAATTCTGCACTATTACGTTTTTAAAATCTTTTGGTGATTTTTTTTAAAAAAACTGACTAGAATTTTATGTATCATCCCATAAAAGTGGATTCTATGTACTCAAGATATGTACTAGTATGTACTACTAGTTCGGGAATCTATAGAAATATTCAACTGTGAAATTGTAAATTTGCAATTTTTAAAAGTAAACTGCAGAATATCATTTTTAACATGATCATTTCTCATTTTTCATTATCAATCACTTCAAGCTGAAAGGGAACAGATCAACTTGGTAAGTAAAACCGTTAAATATCAAAATAAAGTGACATAATTGATCATCTTAATGCTGTGCACTCTGGGGCAAACCAAGAATTTAAACTTGCTACAACTGTCTCTTTATTATTTTGTCCACCCTGGAAATTGTAATACAATGTGCATCGCTGTATTAATATCTCCAAACTACAGCAAAATAAGCCAACTTTTAATTATAAAAACAGAAAATGCTGGAAATACTCAGCACATCAGGTAGCATCTATCGAGAGAGAGAAACAGTTATTGAGCTGAATTTGAAGACAAAGTAATGATTAGATTGGCGATTCTGCTGTGGCTATTTTTGAGAGCCCCGCTGCAGTCAGGTTCCACTCAGCCACTGCAACGACAGTCGGTCAGGACAAGGAACCAGAATGGGAGGAACCCATGGAGGAGGGTGGAGTGGGGTCAACTCACCAATGGTCTATCATGCAGCTCCTTACAAGGGATGGAGAAGGGTCTGCGAGGAGGGCAAAGTGCCGATCCTGGCCATTGATGGGGCCTTCTGCAGTCCACATATCATCTGGGCAGGCCTGAGATGAAACCCTTCAATGGCCCTTGACTGGCCACTTCAATGCCTCATTTGGCAAAAGGACAGGCAGATGGACGGAGGGGCGGTGTTGCCTTGTAATTAAGAAGTGAAATTAAATCGATAGCAAGAAGCAATACAGGATTGGAAGGTGTAGAATCTGTGTGGTTAGAGCTGAGCAACCATAAAGGAAAGAAGACTCCAATGGGAGTTTTGTATCGGCCTCCTAGCAGTACTCAGGATGTGGGGAAGAAAATAAATCAGGAGGTAGAAAAGGCACATAAGGAAGTCACTATTACAATAATCATGGAGGATCTTCAGTTTGCAGGTGGACGAGTAAAATCAGGTTGGTGGTGGATCCCAAGAAAAGGATTTCATCGAATATTTAAGAGAAGCTTGTGGTAGAACCCACTCAGGAACAGGCAATTTGGTGATGTGTAATGAAGCAGGCTTGATTAGGGGGCTGAAAGTGAAGGAACCTCAGTGCTCCTTCTGATCAAAGTGTATAACTTCACCCTTTCCCACATTGTACTCCATCTGCCACTTTTTTGTTCACTCTCCTAGCCTGTCCAAGTCCTTTGCAGCCTCCCTACTTCCTCAACAATATCTGTCTCTCCAATCTTCTGGCCTAGGGATGGGAATGCAAACTTCAACCATTCCCAGCCCTGATTTAATTGAAGTTATTCAGGAATTGGTGAGCTGTCTTCCCTGTGCCTTCTTACAGGGTCTGTGTTCCCAGCCACCACTGCAGGCTCCCAGCCCTCTCTAGTTTTGGTGGGAGTGAGAGGGAGATACATTAAATTCTGCCCAATGTTTCAGATCAATGGTCTCTCATCCAAACTGGAAAATGTTGGAAATATAATAATTTATACGCAAGTGAAATGGAGGAGTTTGGGAAAAAGAACACAGGGAAAAGTCTATAATAAGGTGAAAGATAAGAAAGATTAACTGACCAAATACTTGTTGGTTCAAAACCAAAGCGAGTGGCAATGGGACAGGTAAAGGACAAATGATGAACTAATGCCATTTGAAAGCATTACACAAAAAAGGTAAAATAAAAGCTGCAGAGAGAATGTAAATAAAATGGGGGTAGAGGTTACAAAGGATATGGATTTCAAACTGTAACCTAAAACAGTAACTCTTTCTATCGCTGTCTAGATGCTACTTGATCTGCTGAGATGTTTCCAACATTTTCATTTTTTGTATCAGATTTTTATCTTCCACAGTATCTTGCTTCATTCTTATCGTTGCAAGTGTTAAATTCTGCTTTAAAATGTCTGATGCTGAATGTTTACAGAAAATAATTACCTCCAGATAACCTCTGTTATATGCTGTATATTTTGAAAGCCAAAAGTGCTTTGCATTCTCCCAGGGTCAATAAAAACTGAGTCCACATGTTGTTTCCAAACAATGTATAGTATCAAGAGCAATAGTGGCATATCATAATTGCACCATCCTTTGAATAAACTGATACATTACTTTGGTTATTCAAGAGCTTCAACCCCACTCAACTGCTGGTTCATTGTCCATTCGTATTACGAGGTAGGAGAGAAGCTGAAAAAGATGCTGCCAGAGTAATAAAGAGATGAAAAAGGAGAGATCGCTTACATCAAACTCACAGCGGTCACCAGCAAAGCTCATGTCGCAAATGCAATGGAACTTATTGGGCAAGTTCTGGCAGAAGCCTCCATTAAGACAAGGGTCTGATTCACATTCATCAATGTCGACTTCGCATCTGCAGGATGTCCAGATGGAGAGTTCAAAAAAAATATTTATGAAGAAAGGTAAAATGCTGGAAATACGTGACAGGTCAAACCAGGAGAAAGTATTAATGTTTCGGGTAGACGACCTAGCATCAGAACATGAACTCTTGTTCTTCCCTACTTACTGTCTGACCTGATGAGTGCTTCCAGCATTTTATCTCTACAGTTCCAAATAAGCATTTCAAACATTTTGACTTTCAGCTTGTCCTTTGTTCAGACAGTACCCTAAACCAAAACTAATGCAAAATGTGATCTCTAATCGCACTACATTTGGCACCCTAAGCATTCTAATATTTTACTTGACTAAGATCCCTATGAATTAGCATTGAATGCATAACAGCAGGCATTCAGAAAAATATAGTTACTTCTTTACAGAATGGTTTGGTAAAATGGTGCTGAAAGATCTAGCACTAGTTGTATTTGTCGCTATCTTAATAAATCTCTCAAACCATTGTCTTACAGCTATATTGAGGAGTGTTACGAGTTCGAATCTAAGACATTTTTTAGGCTACAGTAGTTTCAATTATTGCTCGATATTATCTGAATCTCTTACACTTTATAGCATGCCAATACTGCCTAACACCTAATTGTAGAACAGCATTAGTATCACCTTGAATGTTCATGTTATTCTAGCCATTAAAATTTCCATAACCTTCTCAAAGGTTGTCTGAGAAAACACTGTTAAGATAAGGCCAGATATGGATCATGAAGCTGCTTTTTATGTATCATGAATGTATAGGTTAAGCTATTATCTGATTTACCTGGACCACCACAATTGGTGTTCAGGCTGTAATACAAGTAATGAACACATTTTGTTTCCTCACAACAGTGAGTCATCCTGCTTGAGCTAAACAAAGTAGCCTGTAATCACCTCTTGCATTTTAACCCTGAGTCTAGTGGAAGCTTATTCCTGCGGCATTGCTTTGAAACCCTGGCTACCATTGAGCGTTCCTGGCTCTGCTTTTGACTCCCGATGTTCACCATCTGAGGGAAGGACTCGAAGACAGAAAATTCCTAACAGAATGGGATGTTTATTGATTATTGAGTGACCAAAAATGTTCTTACTGTTAATGATTCATTGATAAGCAACTTAACACCTAGCCTAGGGTTTCCCAGTTGAGGATCCCAGTTGGGGCTTCCAGCTGATATTTCTAACTGGTGAGCTGTAAACCAGGAATGTCTGCTGTGAAGCTCTCACCAAGTTACAACAACTGTGTTCCACATCCAACAGGCCCCTGCTGTGTGCCTTCCCCACCCCTGACCACTCTCCACCAACCCTGTTCTCAATGAGAGGTTGAAACAATTTTCAAATCTCAATGGGGTCGCAGTGGCAATGTGTTTGGGAAGCACCCACTTAGATTCTAGTTTGTTAACAATATTAATTTCAGCATTTTAAACAAAAACATATATGAATACAACTTGCTTTTAAAGTCTATCATTTAAATGTAACCATCTTCCATACCCTTCCTATCGACAAACGGTCAGAAGTCCTGAAAAATAACATTGATTTCCCAGAATTGTAACTATTCTACAGTGGAACTGGCAACGGTTGCAGATGCTGACGTAAATTCTAACCTGCAGCCTAACAATGCCGAAAAAAACTGCCTTCTCCGGATGCTCAGCATGTAGATATTGAGAAAGTTATTTCCATCATTTTCTTTAGTTAAAGGGGCCATGTGGAAACATTCAAAATGTAAGGTAAAGACAGAAGAAAAAATTTGGATCAAACACATTGTTTTACATCTTTAATTTTAAAAATTTAAGAATTAAGCAAACTATGATTTCCTCTGATAAAATGGCCATTGAAAAATATATTAAATACAGTGAAGTTGTGATTTATGTATCATATGCCTCTTTATTCCTATTTTAATTTTGGATTGAAAAGACTATTATCCCTTATGAAGTTATTTAGAATAAGTGAACAATTTACCCTTTGCTCATGAACACTCAACATATGACACACAATGCAATAATGAAAAATCTGCTGAGAACTTATATACTTTGGTGTCTCTCTAGATGACAGTGATCTCCCTTAAATTGTTCTTTTATCTGATTTTATTTGCATGCCTTTGTACCTAATATTGTCAGTAGTTTGAATGGGTATGCAGATGAACCATGTCCAAGCTCCTTCCTAGACTGAACTCAATTTAGTTGCTTGGAGTTGAATGCAATAAGAGCAGCTTGGAATCTTAATCTCTGAATACTGTTTTTGTCCTTCCCTGATCTGCTGTTCAGAAAGTGATTGAGATCTAAACATCACTTTCCTATTAGTACTGACTGGCACCACAATATTTGTGAGCAGTCTGAACTTGTTTTTTACTTACTTGTTTCCTGTGAATCCTGTTGGGCAGATACACCTTGTAGTCTTCCCATTTGTGCAATTTCCCCCATTATAACATGTCCAATTTTTCTTCTCTTCAGTGCAGAATGTAGCAGATAATCTAGGATATCTATGAGAAAAGACATGAATGAATTAGTTCCATTTTTAATTACTTATTATAATTATATCATCTAAATATATCTGTGCAGTTACATATGTGTGTTATTGCCATTGTTTTTGTTCATAAAAGGTGAGAAATTTTGGTAATGGAGAATTCAATAGACGTATTTCTCTATCTTTGCGGTAGTGGGCAAAACTAAGTGTCCAGTTGCAGGTACAATATACACAGTGGACAATGTCTCATTAGTGACCATGTAATACTTCCATGTGAGGGGGAGACACATCATTTTTGTATTTGATTCATGCCAGTTGCACAATAGATGGCTGTAATTTTTATGATAACCATATCTATTCAGATTTCATGCACGGCAGTTCATCTATTTCTTTTTCCATTTTTCTGATTCAAGTTCAACAAATCACCAACATTGGTGTGAGGGCCTCTACCAGTATAATATGGTCTGTGGGCTTCCCTGTGTGATAGCCCAGCTAACATATACACAAAGACCAGGTTCTTGTTGAGACAGACATCCTGAAGTTTATTAAGCTTGAACTATGTACACAAATATGATATTTCAGACTTACATATAGTCTGGATTCTTTGTTTACTAAAGTTACTGATACATTGTATATATAGCTGACCAACTGACTGACTGCTTAACTACCTAAGAGTAAGATGGGGACCCTTTATACTTGCGCATCAACTGCTGTCTAAAGAATATAGTTTGTCTGAGATCAGTGCAGTAATACATCAATATTAACTTGTTCCCTACTACTGCAATGGTGAATAAATTTGCTCAACTTACAAACTTCCAGTAAATTGTTTCAACTTCAGGCATTGCTGCTGCAATCTCCATTTCTTGTGCTCTGAGAAATTACTTTTCCATTTTGGATTTCTGCCTTCAGTTCACTTTAAAAGTCCTTAAATTCAAAGGACGTATGGCAAAGGAATAGAACATTTTCTATGCTTTGCATATGGTTTCAACATTGACTATTCCCCCAAAAGATTCCTCATGGGTATGTGCCACAATGCCACCCAATACCAAGGTGTACATGCTTTAATAAAAGCATAGCATTATTTTCTTAAGCCAGATTTTGCATCAAAAATATTCAGTTGATTCTACTTTAAGAATTTTTTTCTGCAAGTTATTTTGTAAACTTTATTAAAAGAGTTGATCAGTCACATAGTTTGAGTAAGAATTACTGAAGTTAATTTCCAAATCAGATGCAATTTAAACTGAAGCACCAGAAATAAACCTTAAAAAATTAATTGAAACAGATCAGAACTTAATTATACATTGCAGGGGAGTTTATTACTGGGAGAATCTTTTTGATGATGTCCTTAATAAAGTAAATGGGCAATAGATATGCAGAAAGTTTATGGCACTTATGAGGAGGCTATTCAATGAATGGGCTATTCAACCCATTCCATTGAGCCATACGAAAACAGTGCAATAGAAATATCCAATCAAGTTCCACTTTCCAACTTATGGTCCTACTTCAAAGGTAGTTATCTCAGGATTACTGCCAATGCCACAAGCTCATCAGAGTAGAAACAGCAGGAATATATAGGATGAACACGCGGCTGAAAAGATGATGTGAGAGGGGGAGCGTTTCAGATTAATGGGGCATTAGGACCAGTTCCGGGGGAGGTGGGACCTGTACAAACTGGACTGGTTACACCTGGGCAGGACCGGGACTGATGTCCTTGGGGAGTAACTTGGTAGAGTGGTTGGGGAGGGTTTAAACTAGTGTGGCAGGGGCATGGGAATCAGAGAAGTAAGTCAGTTGATGTAGAAATTGAGGGAGAGGTAGAAATCAAGCAAACATTACTAAGAACAAGAACAGGCAGGGAAGTGTGGCTGAAAAGAGCAGGGGAGGTGGTCCGAAATGCATGCGTTTCAATGTGAGAAGTATAATAGGCAAGATAAATGAACTTAGTTCCAAGTATTAACCGAAGCTCTATGACATTATTGTGGTTACAGAGACTTGGCTGAAAGAAGGACAGGACTGGCTGCTGAATGTTCCAAGTTTTAGATGTTTCAGGTGGGATAGAAAGGGAGGTAAAAGGGGTGGGGGAGTCACATCACTGGTAAAGGAGTATCTCACAGCTGTACTGAGGGAGGATACATCAGAGGACTTGTGCAGCAAGGCAGTATGGGTAGGGCTCAGGAATGGGAAAGGTGAAATCACAATGCTGGGGATATTCAACAGGCCTCCCAACAGCCAGCGGGAGATAGTGGAGAGAATATGTAGACATATTTTGGAAAGATGTAAAAACAGCAGTATATTCCCCTATATTGACTGGGATTCACTATGTGCTAGGGGCTTGGATGGGGCAGAATTTGTAAGGACCATTAAGGATGGATTCTTCACACAACATATAAACAATCCAATCAGGGAAGGGGTTATACTGGACCTGGTTTTGGGAAATAAGCCCGTCCAGTTGAGTGAAGTTTCAGTGCGGGAGCATTTTGTGAGTAGTGACCAAAGAGTTTTAAGATGCTCATGGATAGGGATAACAGCTGTCCTTGCGTGAAAGTGTTAAATTGGGGGAAGGCGAACTACAACAATATTAGGCAGGAACTGGACAATTTTTATTGGAGGCAGCCGTTTGAGGGTAAATCCACATTAGACATCTGGGAGTAGTTCAAACAACAGTTAATAAGAGTCAGGAGCGGCATGTTCCTGCGAGAATGAAGGATAGGTATGGCAAGTTACACGAATCTTGGATGACCAGGTATGTTATGACTTTGGTCAAAAAGAAAAAGGAAGCATATGTAAGGTCTAGGAGGACGCGAACTGATGAAATCCTTGAAGTATATAAGGAAAGAAGGAAAAAACTTAAACAAGGAATTAGAAGGGCTAAAAGGGGTCATGAAAAGTCATTAGCAAATAGGATAAAGGAGAATCCTCAGCCTTTTAAACACATATAAAAAGCCAGAGGGTAGCCAGGGAAAGGGTTAGCCCTCTCAAGGAAAAAGGGGGGAATCTATGAGTGGAGCCAGAAGACGCAGGTGAGGTCCAAAATGAATACTTTGTGTCAGTATTCACCAAAGAGAAGGAATTGGTGGAGGATGATGTCAGAGAAGGGAGTGTCAAGTTTCTAAGCCATGTCGCTATTAAAAAGGAAGAGATGTTGTCTGTCTTAAAAAGTATTAAGGTAGATGAGTTCTCAAGTCCTGATGGGATCTATCCCAGAATATTCAGGAAGATAAGAGAACAAATTGCTGGAACATTGACAGACATCTTGTATCTTCTTTGGCCACACGTGAGGTCCCAGAGGACTGGAGAATAGCCAATGTTGTCCCATTGTTTAAGAAGGGTAGCAGGGATAATCCTGGAAATTACAGACCTGAGAGTCTCATGTCGATGGTAGGGGAATTATTGGAAAAGATTTTCAGGCACAAGATCTATATGCATTTAGAAGCAAGTGGATTTATTAGTAATAGACAGCATGGCTTTGTGCGGGGAAGATCATGCCTCACTAACTTGAGTTTTTTGATGAGGTGAAAATGATTGATGAGTGAAAAGCAGTTTATGTTGTCTACATGGACTTCAGTAAAGCCTTTGACAAGGTCCCTCATGGTACAAAAGGTGACATTACAGGGTATCGGGGTGAGCTGGCAAGATGAATATAGAACTGGCTTAGTCATAGGAGACAGAGGGTAGCAGTGGAAGGATGCTTTTTGGAATAGAGGGTTGTGACTAGCAGTGTTCGATAGGGATCAGTGCTGGGACCTCTGCCGTTTGTGGTCTATATAAATGACTTGGAGGAAAACATAGCTGGTCTAACTAATAAGTTTGCAGACAATACAAAGATTGGTAGAGTTGCAGATAGTGAGGAGGACTGTCAGAGGACAGCAGCAGGATATGGATCAGTTGGAGGCATGGGCAGAAAAATGACAGATGGAATTTAATCTGGACAAATGTAATGTGGTGCATTTTGGAAGGTCAAGTACAGGTGGGAATTATAAAGTGAATGGCACAACCCCTTAAGAGTATTGATGTGCAGAGGGATCTGAGTGTGCAGGCCCACAGATCACTGAAGGGAGCAGCGCAGGTAGATAAGGCAGTCAAAAAGGCTTATGGCATGTTTGCTTTCTTTGGAAGGGGCACTGAGTAGAAGGATAGACAAGTTATGCTGCAACTTTATAGAACTTTAGTTAAGCTACACTTGGAATATTGTGTATAGTTCTGGTCACCACACTACCAGAAGGATGTGGATGCTTTGGAGAGGGTACAGAAAAGGTTTACCAGGATATTGCCTGGAGTGGGGGATTTTAGCTATGAAGAAAGGTTGGATAGACTGGGTTTATTTTCATTGGAACACAGGAGATTGAGGGGCAACCTAATAGAAGTTTATAAGATTGTGAACGGCATGGATAGAGAGGAAATTATGAGGCTTTTTCCCAGGGTCGAGTGGTCAATTACGAGGGGACACAGGTTCAAGGTGCAAGGGAGGAAGTTTAAAAGAGAAGTGAGAGGCATGTTTTTCACACAAAGGGTGGTGAGTGCCTGGAACGCGCTGCCAGACAAGGTGGTGGAAACAGGCATAGTAGCAACATTCAAGAAGCACCTGGACTAATTCATGAATAGGAAGGGAATAGAGGGATTCTGTGAGTGAAGACAGTTTTAGTATGGAAGGGCAAAATGTGTTGGCACAGGCTTGGAGGGCTGAAGGGCCTGTTCCTGTGCTGTATTGTTCTTTATCAAACAGCCCTGTTGGTTACAGCATTTATCTACACACCAAGTACTCATCACATTTCTGCTTTTACCAATCTTGCAGCCACTGAATTTCCCCCACCATCCTCTGGGTGAAAATGTGTCCCCTCAACTCCCTTCTAATCCTTCTGTTAATTATTTAAATCTATTCCTCCTTGTTGTTAACCTCTTTGTTAATAGAAGTAGGCACTTTCTGTCCATTCTATCTGAAATGACTCCATGAAGGTCAGTATTCCATCACCAAATCATCCTTTATTTACATATGCATAGGACATGACACTGACCCAG